TGTTGGCCTCTCTGTCTTCTTTGCTTTGCACATTATGAGAGTTATACAAGCTATTACTTAAAGAATATTTAACTTGGAATATCGAAAATCGAATATTTACGAAGAAATAATTTTAAATGCGTTAAAATATTTGCATAACATTTGCAATTTCTAGAACCTGTTTGAAAGGCACCCACGCGAGTGACAGGACGATGAGGATGAATTTTATGCGTTTTAATCTAGCGTCTCTCTAGTCTCGCTTGAAGGATACGATGGCGTACATTTGCTTTTATATAATCTGTACATGCTATCTGCTTCGAATTTATGATTACAATTTAATTTCCGACGCAAGATCTCCATTAATCCAAGGATATCTTATCGCAATTCCTAATTTACATAATTCTAACATTATGAGCGCATAAAGATACACTTTATGAATATATAATTTAACGAGCCTAATGATGTATCTCGAATATTTAGAAATTATTTATGAAAATCGGTACATTGAAAAGATACTTTTGTAAACTTGTCCCACGCAATCTGTATCGTTATTAATCTTTGATGTACGCTTACATATATCACTCATTTTGAACTATATCTTTTTTTCCACAGACATATTATATTTTGTTTGCGTCTCATTTTATTATATATTTTTTCTGCTTACAATATATGATTGTATCAAACGTAATTTGTCTTTTATAAACTATCATGAAATTCAATGATACGAAATGTTTGTTACAAAAATATTCATGCTTTCGATGACATTCATAAATTTCTTTATACCTCGAACACAGAAAATTTGATTGGATTTTATTTCAATCGCATTCTATGTCTTTTTGCTTTATTTTATCGCTTCAGCTTTTATTTTGTTTTGCATAATATTACTTTTTTATATTTTCAATATTTAGCTATAATTTGACATTTTCGACACTAATTGTTAAGTCCAGGATTTTTTATTCTTTCGCTTGTCGCATCTCATTCTAAAATTGTATGTTACGGTGACTTTATTTTCCGGAAAATTATACTTTATTGTCAGTTGAAATGTATACTATAAATACAAAAAATACAGAACGTTAATCCATGATAGATGG